GGCGCCGCCATCTTTTTTTGATGAAAAAGTGCTTCCGGTGAGGTCACCGGAAGCACTTTTTCATCAAAAAAAGATGGCGGCGCCCAGCTGATGCCGGTACCTGGCCGCAGCGCCCAGCTGATGCCGGTACCGGGCCGCGGCGTAAAAAAGGTTGGGGATCTCTGATATAGAATACATATTTCTATTTCTTTAATACTGTTTTAAAATTCTGGATCCCTCACAGGGACGAGTCAAATGAAGTTTTCTCCTCTTTATGATGGAGCTGAAACCATGGCTGAAACTCCAAATCAAGTAAGCAGGGGAAATGTTCATTAGATTTCTAAGTTTCCTTTTGCTCAGGAATCAAGTTAATCTGCCAGTGTGTTTACTTATGTTTGAGCAGTATTGTCCTATTCTAATCAAATAATGATAAAAAGAAAGGATCTCTTGAAAGATTTTTGTGAAGAATTAATTATTGAAAACTAGGCAGAGTAATTAGCCCAAGGAGAGTTACATATTAGTCTTCAATAAGAATCTGAACTACATCTTGTTGCTTGGGAACACGATAACTCAATCCAAACAAAAGGGAAAAATGGAAGGAGAGAGTGCTGTGTTCATCATCATTTTAAAAAGCCTTATTTACAACCAACAATAAGAAAAATAAGCAAATCAGATTAAAAGATAAGGCAGACTATTAAATTCTAATGGAGATAGCCAAATGTAAAAGTCTCTAAGTAAAAATTATCCTGGAATAGCACATAATCAGATAACATAATCAGAGTTGGAAGGGACCTTGTAGGTCATTTAGTCCAACCCCTGCCCAAGCAGGAGACCCTACACCATTTCTGACAGATGGGAGTCCAATCTCTTCTTGAAAGTCTCAAGTGATGAAGCTCCCGCAACTTCTGTTCCATTGGTTGATTGTTCTCACTGTCAGAAAGTTTCTCCTTATTTCCAGGTTGAATCTCTCCTTGTTCAGTTTCCATCCATTATTCCTTATCTGACCTACAGGCGCTTTAGAAAATAGCTTGACCCCTTCCTCTCTGTGGCAGCCCCTCAAATATTGGACCATTGCTATCAAAGCCCTTGTGGCTTGCAAAAATAATTTCTAATCCTCTGATTTCTACCTGGATTTGGAAGCCAAACTATGTAGCTTTCCAAAAGCTAAGAAAGGTCCAACCCAGAAAATTTTCTCCTCTTTCTTCTCTCCTGTTCAACCAATCACTCAGACTACCAACTGTTTCCTTCCAATCTGAAGGAGGGTTGTGTTGTCCCTGGATATTGATGGCACTCCATCCCAAATCCCTGGCTGCCTCTCCCAGCACTTTCCTGGAGGTGTTGAGCACGGACAGGATTGGTTCTTCAACAGACATCAAAAGCCCTTTGCTGAAATGCTAGAAAGTATGTCTCTCTTTCATTAACTTCTGCAAATACAGGAAGGACCGAAGTCACTGAGACCTAGGGATTCCAAAGCCCATTTGCAAGTGGGTAGATGGATGGATACTTACTGATGAAGATACATATATCATTAGGTAGTTATACAGACAGAAACAGGATTACTTTCAGTGGATAGCATTGAAAGAGTACAGCATCTATCACGTTTATGGCTGATTCAAAAACATGTTAAAAATAAATAAATGTAGATAAAACCTACGTTCTTTTCGTTTTGGGAATTTCTAAACAATAAGATTTTCCAAACCTCCCAAGCCTATTTTGTTTTTGTTCCTTGTTCAGGAAGATCCTATGTCCTTCGAGGAAGTGGCTGTGTATTTCTCCGAGGTGGAGTGGTCTCACTTGGAACCTGACCAAAAAGCACTGCATTTGGAAGTCATGATGGAAAATCATGAGAACGTAGCCTCTCTGGGTAAG